TGACGTATCTGCCGTCTTGGCTTGAGTTTGCAATTCTCCTAAAGGATTCGGGGAGATGCCGGAGTGGACAGGGAGAATGATTAACACTTGAGGGAATGCTAGGTTCAATTAACGTCACATCGCATTTAGATCCTATTCTGTTCATCTACAGAATGTCCCATGAGGAATGTGCCAAGCTTCGGGAGGGTGTTCCTTATGTTAAATTATGCCGATATAACCCAAAACACCTATGTCCAAAGTTGAACGGTTATGGAGATAATGGCCAGAGAAGTGTGAAACTTTGACAGGTGTTACACACTTGTTGATTACCAAATGCATATTGAAACTGGAAGGAACATGTGATTTCTGTAATGTTAATAATTTACGTAACATCAAACTAACTTGTAAGTGACATGAAGCCATTAAAATGAACTACAAAGAAACTCGCATGCCATGTCATAGTTGCCCTTAGGGTTCCAAGCACTAAACGTGACACATGACTGGCAAGCGCTGACGCAACATGGCTGACTGCACTATAAGCCAACCACATAACTATTAAATGTACATTCACAGAAAATCTCTTTTGGAATTTCGTTTCCATTATCTCATGTGGATTATTATGGGACCACGTATGCACATTTCGTGAATTATTTACACCGTCCAGGGTAAAAGACGCCTCATCACTGAATTAAATGACGTTTAACATTTCGGGATGAGCTTTTATCCAGTGGCACAAATCCATACACTGTGCATGGTCGCCTGGTTCCAGATGTTGTACCCTTTGATCATGGTAAGGATACAACTCTTCATCATGCAAAGTTCGCCACACCTGCATACGTGATATGCCGATGCGAGAGGCCATTCTACGAGCGGACAGACGCGGATTTCTCTGAACCATCTCAAGAACGTTCTCTCGTGTGTTTAACATTCGTACATCCCCCCTTTCAGAATGCACAGAAACACTCGGAAGAGAACCAGTATCACGCAATGTCTGGTGAATTCGCGTAAATGCACACTTAATGTTCATGGGTTATATGAAGTAGGTCCACTTACTTGTACTGATGAAGTAGGTCCACTTACTTGTTCTGATGAAGCAGGCACACACCACCAACCAACAACTACTCAGCGCCATCTCTCTCTCTCGGCGATAGCCTTCGGCCACACTTTATTGACAATTTAGCTCTTTTCTGATTGATCCCTGCAGTATTTTTGTACTCTCTTTTAGCTGACTCTCTGGGTTCCGGGGTTGTATTCACCCTCCCGTCCTGACGTGATTTTGGTTGGGGTGGCTTGCTCTCATTGGCTGTTTATCGAAAGGGGGTCTGCTCTTTCAGGCCTACCACCCTCTCCGAATCAGCGATTTCCTAATGCCCTAGTTCTTTATGTTCTACTTCATATAGCCTCTTCCTCATGTCAGCGTTATTACGCTGCCGTGCTAACATTCTGATTGCAAAACTATTACCTAACTACTTACATTACACTTCTTTGCAAACTCCAGCTTCCTGGTAAATTCCATTATTTCTACTTCTTAATTTTATCGTCTAAAAACACTTATTCCATATTAACCGAAAAACATATCTACCCATACATAACTTTGGGGTATAATACCCATTAAAACCCTCTATGCATTCCTCTTCTCTCCCGTGTGTGTTATATCCCCTGCCNCACCCACTAAAAATCTCTATGTATTCCTCGTCTCTCCCGTGTGTGTTATATCCCCCGCCCATCTTATCCTCCTTGACTTGATCATTCCAGAAGAGTAATGCAGATTCTAATGGTTCTGACCACGGTGGGTAATCCTTGGAATTACTTGGTTTTTGGACTTTGTCAATCGTCCAGTATTCTAAAAAGAACACAGCATTTTGGAAACTGGATCTGTTTCTGTAAAGTGGTGAGGCGGAGAGACACCTACTCTTTCTAATGGACCCAACAGTGTGGGTGTCTCCCCCCCTCACCTGAGGACAGAAATGGGTCTAGTTTGTGGAACGTTGTGTTCTCTAGTGTTTTTTAGACAAAGAAGAAAGTCCAAAGCACCCAGTAATTCCAAACAGAAGGATAATATCTTATTTTGGCTCTGAGATTTTCTTGACCATGACTATGAAGTGTAGTGGCTTCTGGGATGTGATCCCATGTAGTGTTGGTAGGAACTCGCCAATGTTTTGGAGGAACATATGGTCACTGTCTTCAGGATTGAAGAGTAAGCCAAGAAAGCAGACTTTTTCAGGGCACCCATCTGCCTAATTTCCATGCTACTCCTTCCACAGCAACTTGTTGCTGTTTCCCTGTGTGTCTTTTCTTCTGCTGTCTTTTGCTCTTTATCCCCTGCTGCATGCTACATCCGCTCATATGACTTCTTTCCTATCTTCCCTCAGTTCTACAAAATTCACTCCTTTTAAGGGTCACAGTAGTTACTTTCCCCTTTGCTCCTATTGGTTCCCTGTAGTGTCCTTTAATTTTTTTAAGGTCTCATTCCATCAGTGGTTCTGCCTACTTTACGTGCATTTTACTTCCCTTACGTGACATAATTTTCTGTACACAGTTCTCTTTGTTTTCCGCATAATTCTTGCTTGGTTTGCTCTTCATCCCTGGATGGAGACAGTATGTTCCCCCCAAAACATCTGGGAACTTCAACCAGACTACAAGGTGCAGACACCCTATGAGAGAAATTTTCAATATTTTATTTGTTTCTTTACCACAGTTTTCCCACCTGTATGTGATGTATAGTGTTAGCTTGGAAAGTAATCATGAATGATGAAGTGGCCAGTGTTAAAAGAGTATTGCTCCGACATTTTCCTGGAGGTACCTAACTAATTCATCCAAGGAAAACAAAGATGAGGGTGATGTATGAGATACCACTAGACCAATGTTCTAGCATGAGATTTCTGACGTCTGCCCTGTTGAACCTTCATTTGTGTTCTCAGAATCAGCTGCCCAATTACAAGATGGCACTCATGGCTCTGGATGATGCATCATCCGGTTGGACCGAAGTGGACGGACCTAAAACTGAACTGGCTCGATTCATGGAGAAGGGACCCATGCTTGATGAATACTTCTCGACGATTATTGATACCAAGGGGAACTTGTGTAGCTTGCCTCGGTTGCTTGGTGGGTCTCAGTCTTAAGTGCAGCAGAACAAGTCGTGAGTGATTTAGTCCTGCACCTGATGTTTATTAGTTGGCTCTGAAACTCATCAGGTTTGGTAAAAAGTACAAATACTTGCAGATGTTTGTTAAAGGATGGGACAGTATGTATGCTTTGTTGCTGGCTATGCTGCTAGAATGCCAGGGTGAAGGGAGCACCTGTGGCAAAATCGAAGTACTATCCTAAGATTTGCTTTGAGGGACCAAGGAAGACCATAAAAGATATAATTCAGGGTAGCCAATATCCTGGCCAAGATTTGAACCAAACACCAGTAACAGTTGCTGGTAAAGTAACCTGCTCAGTTTTGCCCATTGTTATTCAGATGATAAAAGCAGGAACAGTGGGATGAGAGTAACATGCAGCATGCATGATTCAGACAAGAAATACTTCAAAGTTGTGTGTGTGTGAGTGTGCATGTGTGTGTGTGAGTCAAAGAGCACAGAAACGTGTGCGAGTGCATGTGCGTGTGAAAGAGACTGAGTACATCAGCTGCTGGCCTCTGCTGATGGTGCTAGTTTAGGAAGTGAAAACAAAGAGCACAGAAACTGATTAGTACTACAAGATCATTCACTCATATGAGACCCCACATTATTAATTATGAATCATGCAGTAATTCCCCAATGAGAACTAATCCTGGCTGTGACATTGCTTGGTAGATGTTGAGGCAGTTGGGTTACAGAAGCTGTTGAAACTGGTTTCCCCTCTGCCTGGAGACAAAGACTGTTGTAGCCAGGATGACAGGGGGGGATTGCAGAAATGGTTTGAACTGGGGAGGCGGACACCAGGTTAGCGTTGTAAAGATTAGTTTACATCGTTAAATTAGTGTCTGACTTGTAATTATTAATTCAGTTCCTCCTCTTAGTGAATCACTTTGTATCTTCTGGGTTATAATGCTGAATAGTTTGGTAGATGTTCACCAGTGCTTTGGGGGAATGTATTGCCTATGTCTTTGATCCTGAAGATGGAGGTAGCATGATCCTCCAAACCATCAATTATCACAAGATGGTACTTTCCATAGTCACTGCTGTAAGATCCTCAAATCTGACAAAAGAAACTGTTAGACACTCGTAAGGATGTTGGTCTAGAAGTGAATGCAGAGAAAAGTAATTACAGTGTATATTTTTTAAGATGCAAGGTTTTCACAGCACTGGAAATTTGTATTGTGGTCTGCATGACCTCATGTAGCCTGATAGGTGCATATCAACATTAGAGAGGGACATGTTTATTCCATTTTCAAGGTAGAAGACTTTGATGAATGTTTGTCTGTGATATGTGATATGCCCGTATCTTGAGGCCATCTTCACGTTCATTGCACCACGTTGTGGTGAAAAATGGCTCCATTTGACACTGCTGCTGAGCAAGTTGTCTAAAGTGGGAGTGCTTCTGAGTTTTATTCAGTTTTCCCCAGGGAAATGTTGAGATAGTCTCTCAGGTTAGGACTGGCTGCTTCCTCCCCCCTTTCCAGTTCACTGTTCAGTAATTATCCTACAATTCAACACTACACAGTCTATTCAAACACTGATAATGAGTCATTAAACTGAGAAATGATTAGAAATACTCCTCTCTCATTACTGTGATCTTCTGGGATGTAATGCCACAAAGTCTGGTTACCAGCATTTCAAAAAAGCATACTGTACCTTCATCTGAGTACAGTCATCCTTGGCTTTGAGTATCATTGAGATTTGTGACCAAGATTTTTGTTCCTTTTTAGATATGTATGTGCTTAAGTGGGGCCTCTCTGTCATTCTGCATAGGTGCTATATTTGTTGTACTGTAGTTTCAGCATGAGTATATTCATGCTGTCACTGTGGACTCTGTGCACCCTTCATCACTGCACTGCACAAAGTAACATTTATACAAGGTATACAGAAGTTTCCTGTCAATGCAGGTTTGTGCAGCGGGTTATGCCTTAATTTATGTAACTACACTCAATTCTCGATTATCCGGGATAATGGTGGGGATGGAAATCACGATTAATCGAAAACCCAGTTAAGACAAATTTTATTAAAAGTGGTACTGTAATACTGTACCTTCATAATACTATAGGCCTACCTGTATTTAAATTTATTCAACCTCATTTTTATGTGATCTCATGGCCTATTTAATACTTTTTTTTTACATTACACTGAAGTATGAATTAATTACTTTAATCACAGTGTTCAACAACATCCAACACTTTTTACGAATATTCACACTTAACACTTAAAAAATTTAATATTGTCTTTGCTTTTTCGCAGCAATTTCCTTTTTACGGATATCCGTACGAAGCCTACATAATATTAGCTCGTCACTTAATAAACTCTTCTCTTCACTCTCAAGCTAGTCTAGTAAGGATTCCAAATGATTAAGAGCAACACCATGTGATACTTTCTTACTAGCAGCACTGTCCACCTGTTCCTCATTCTCACTTTCTTCCCGCTCTTCTGACTGCACCCCCACTTAACTTACGATTTCGTCACTGCTTAACATTTCGAAGCCCAGCTCACACGAGTTACTGTTGAGTACTTACCACAACACGCTTCCTTTTACACCCTGATATTTTGCTAATGCACTTGAAGATCGATACAAAGAGACTAATTGGGGCGGTATATCTGTCCTTGAAACTATCCACAAATCCTTTCATTCTTTCACCCCTACCCTAGAACATTGTGTTAGTATAACGGGACCAAAAAATGCTGAGCTCGGTTCACACTAGTGCGAAAATAGTGTTACAACTCACCATGTGAAACAAAAGTGGATGAATATTAAACAACATACAAGCCTCAAAAAAGCCCCGGTTAAGCCGCAAACCGGTTAATCCGCCCCCAGATAATGGAGAGTTGAGTGTACTTTGAAACTGCATTTAGTCAGCTGAACGGTTGTAGGCCTGAGGCTGAAAGCTCCGATTGGCTGTCCTTATACCGCCTCCGCACGGACCCAATAGAAATAACCACTTCCAATGGTTCATAAGCAGTTCAGCTGCCATGTCACAGTATTCACCACTGTGAGAAGCTTAGATCTGGAATACTTTCTGGTCAAATGCTGTTGCATTGCAGTGCAACTGTCTGATTGTTTCTCTGTTTCAGACCAGTACAGCCCTGCAACATGTGGCCTGCCTCTTTTCCTGTTATATCTCTGGACAGGTGTGGATTGGGATGAAGAAAAGGGTTGCTTCGATAGCTTCTGTCGAGAAATTGCGCGGTTCTACAGCCAGAAGCTGCACTCAGACCACTGGGACACTGAACATGAGGGCAGTGTGTCGCAGGTAATCATGCCTCAGGAAGCTTCTGTTCTTGTTGTTGCTGTGGCTTTATATTGCTGAAATCAGCCACTAACACTTTCTCTCCCAACGACACTGCTGCTGGCTTACCTCCTAGCTGCAGTTAGCAACACAGTAGCAGTTTTTGGTACTTCTCAACACTGAAATGAATGGCCAACGATCTACACATGTCCGAGGAATCACAAGAAGTAGCTATATGCTTCATCTAGCAACAGAGAAAGAAACTGTATGTCCAAAGTATGATGAGAAAGGTTCTGGTGGCTCCTGTTATCTGTGTTTCAACAGACCCATAGGTTTATTTATGTGCCACAAGGAGAATTAAGTGTCCTGTCCGGTCCTGTGTGTGGCCATGCTAGAGGCTGCTGTATGTGTCCAGTGAGTTGCATGCACAGTTCTCCTGATTTAGCCCTGCAGTTGCACACTTCACAGTGCTCAGTGCATTTCCTGTTTTACACATTTATGGTATACATGTAAAGGGCCGTGCAGGCAGCCCAACCTTGATAGAAATTGATTTCTATTAATTTGAAATTGTGCATAATTTCACTTATTTGGGATCAGAGGTCAACTGCAAAAATGACATAAGCACGAAGATAAAAAGACATACCCTTTCTGCAGGTAGATGTTTTTATGGACTTAAGAAACATCTAAAGTCAAAGTTGTTCACAAAGAAAACCTAAATTGCTGATGCACAAGACACTTGTGAGACCAATATTAACATATGCCTCTGACACCTGGATGCTATTCAAGGCAGATAAAAGATCATTAGGTTTCTTTGAAAGAAAAATTCTCAAATGCAGTTTTGGAGCTGTGCAGGATAAGTATACATGGTGGAAGAGATATAACCATGAATTATTTAAGCTATTTAATGAGCCAGGTATCACTAAATATATAAAAATAAACAGATTAAACTGGGCTCGACATATTGTGATGTGATGCCTGAAAGCCGGAATAGTGGAGCCAGATCGGTAGTTGATTTCCTAGGCAGTGGGTATTAACAGAGCATGTTCCCAAGTCGACAGGTTACCATAGGATTATTATACATGACTTCATGACAACACTTGACTAGGCATATAGGTTACTGCAGAACTGGAAGTGTGCTTAAAGCAGACAGTTACTGCAGATAGGAAGTACAGAACTCTTTGAGGCTCTTTGATGCGGTGTCTGCTATCACGGCCACCTGGAAGTTGTAACCAGAAGCAGCAGAGAACAGAAATCATAAAAGCTCAGACACATAAGATGTCAGAAGTAAAGTGTTTATTTTATGTGGTGTGTTTACAGTAACCTTTAGAGTGTCATCATTGTTTGTAGTTACGAAGTGTTATAGTTACAGTAAGATTGAAGGTGTTACAATTAACTGTAGTTCCATCTGGTGAACATGCAATAAATCGACTCCCTAACCAAACCTGCATCTAAAGTCACTAATACATGTGGCAATATAATATTATATGAATGGATAATAGTGGGACAGTCAAGAAGGTGTTTGATACCAGACTTGAAGGGACTAAGAATATTGAAAGGCCCAAACTGGGATGAGAGGATGGTGTGCCAGTATATCAGGACCCTGGGGGCAGAGAACTGGGGGAATGTGACTATGAATAGAGAATACTAGCTGAAGCTTCTGAAGAATGCCAGGGTTCACACATGATGATGACGACAGCAGAGACTATGATATATATATGCAGCAAGTTCAAGTCCCGATGAGGTCTTCGGATTTTTTTTTCAATTCACCTAATCCTTCTGGCTGCACTATGGCCCCGGGGTTCACTCAGCCTCTAACAGATATGAGTACCAGGAATTAATTACATAATTTTCCTGGGGAGTAAAGCGCGCCCGGCACACAAGGCTGACGTTACCGCCNGATTGTCTAGATAATGTGGGACGCTCAATGTCTCACAACCCTATGGGCCTTTGCGGCCTGTTACAGGGATTGCTTTACTTTTTATTACTTTTTCTTTTACCCTTGTGTATAACAAAAAGTCATGTATGTATTCTGTCTTGTCCATATCTTGGTAGGACACTCTACTTGTAAATGACTGACACTGTGTACAGCAGTGAAAGGACTGAGGTGAAGATACACGAAGGGTAAGTACTGGGACATGAGAGTGTACTATGGGAAGGAGTCTATTTATTAGCCCTTAAAAAAAAGGTAAAGGTATACCTGTAACAGGCCGTGGAGGCCCATGGGGTTGAGATGTTGAGGTCCCCACATTTTCAAGACAATTGGCTCATAGATGGCGGTAAGGTTGTCAGCCCTATGCACCAGCTGCCCTTTACCCCCAAGAATATTCCTGGTACTCATTTCTGTTAGAGGCTGAATTGACCCAGGGCCATAGTGCAGCTGGAAGGACTAATTAAATTGAAAATATCCAATGAAATCGAGATTTGATCCCACGACCTTCTGGCTTCTAGCATATTGCCTTAACCAACTACACTACTGCGTGCCCCATTTATTAGCCCTTTATTCCTTTATATTATTTGATTTCTAATGTTCCTTTTCCCCAGTTTCATATTTTAAGAATGTTAATATATTAAATATAATTATTGGCTTTAATATTTGAAATGTGTCTGGTTGTTTGTATAACCTCATTTGAATTTCAGAGAGAGTTGGATGACACTCCAGATCTTAGATGGGTGATTGAGCACATCATATATCCAGCTCTGCCTCTCAGCTTCTTGCCACCGAAGAGGTTTGCAGAAGATGCCACTATTTTACAGATTGCCAATTTGCCAGATCTGTACAAAGTGTTTGAGCGCTGTTGAGGAGTATACTGGTGTTTGGTTTGTATGTAAATTGTATGTGGAAGAGGCATAGCTCTGTAAGAAGTAAATAAATGAGAAATAAATCTTTGGAAAATAGTTAACACAGTGTATAATAATATTACTTCCATGATTCGCAAACATGAGAGATTTAAAAATTAAGTATATTATTTTTGCTTTCAGTTAGGATATCTCAGTAAATTGATTGGGTTTGAGTCCTAGCACAGGCAGGAATGTTCAGTCATCATGTCGAGACCAACTACGAGGCCCACCCAGAGTCCAGTGTAACATGAATTGGAGGCCCTTTCTCCACAGAGAGACCAACAGGAGTGTGGAAGTGATCACTTCCCCACAGAGAGACCAACAGGAGTGTGGAAGTGATCACTTCCCCATAGAGAGACAAACAGGAATGTGGAAGTGATCACTTCCCCACAGAGAGACCAACAG